GATAGCTGCCGATACGTTCCGCACCGAACACAGCGAACTCGATCTCGCTATCAGTCTGGCAGAGGAGAAGGGAGCATCAAGCTGGCTTACCTGCCGACCCATCGCTCGCCATGGCTTCGCTTTGTCGAACGGGGAATTCCGGGGTGGCCTCTGCCTCCGTTACGGTTGGACGCCTTCTCGCCTGCCCACCACCTGTGTTTGCGAGAAGGCATTCACCACTGCTCACGCCTTGTCCTGTCCTTTCGGTGGGTTCCCCTCGATCCGCCACAACGAGGTGCGCGACATACTGGCAAGCTCATTGAAGGGTGTCGCCCACAACGTCGCAGTGGAGCCACATCTCCAACCCCTGACTGGGGAGCAGTTTGAGCTGCGGTCAGCATCAACCGAGGATCAAGCTCGTTTGGATGTGGTGGCCAGTGGAGTTTGGGGGGGTCGGTTCGAACGCACTTTTATTGATGTACGGGTGTTCAACCCTTATGCGTCTTCGAACCGCACCTCCTCTCTCTCTGGCTGCTACCGGCACCATGAGCAAGAGAAACGGCGTCGATATGATCGGAGAGTTTGAGAAGTGGAGCGATCCACTTTTCTCCCCTTTGTGCTCTCTTCCACCGGAGGATGCGGCAAGGGTGCCGCTGCACTGGTGAGCCGGATTGCACATCTCCAGTCGCTATGTGGGAGGGAGGCGTATTCTGTGCTAATTGCCCACCTCCGCTGCAGGCTGACTTTCGCCCTGCTGCGTTCGAGTGTCATGTGTCTGCGTGGGGCTCGCCCGGTTTGGCAGCCTCCAAAGGATGGCTGTGCCTCCCTGGCTGTCGTGGAGGCTAGGGTGTCCCGTTGAGCCTTGCCCCGTGGTTGTGCGGACTATGCTATGCTTCTCTTGCTGTCTGATCACATGCGACGTCATCATTATGTGATTTGTTTTCAACCCTCCGCCATGGCAAATTGTGTTTTGTTCGCCCGTAAAAATCTGCAGTGCTGTTCAAACCTGGCGCGAGATACGCACAGAAGTACGTTTGTACGATTTTCTTGACCCGGGTTGATTTCAACCCTCCCCTTGGGTTGATTTCAACCCTCCCCTTGGGGGGAGGGTTGAAATCAACCCGGGGCGAAATTTCAACCCGGGTCAAGCGCAATGCGTCATGTAAACGCGCCATTCACTTTGTGCACATGGCGGGTTGAAATCTGACCCGGGTCGAACTCAACCCGGGTTGAAACCAGGGAGTAGTACAATACCGGGAGGTGACACGGGCACACATCCGGGATTACGAGCTTTGCCTCACAAAAAAATACAAACCGCGTGAAAATTCAAATTTTTGCTCTTTTGACAGCGCTGAGAAACCTTCAAATGGTGACGAGAAGACCAGACGTATCCCTTCGTGACAAGCTGCCACTTGTTCTTTTCAGCTCGAGCCTTTTTGGGAGCTACTCTGGTACATCGTCCACACTGCTGCCAAGTCTCGACTCCCCAAAATGGATGGAAGTGACGAATTTGGAGGACGCTATCCTAGGTAAGTAACGTGATGGAATTTTCTCATCTTGACATGGTGTAACACGAACCTGAATTTCTCATTTGGACCCACTCGGACACCTCACCAAGTTGGGATATTTCGAAACTATACCTATTTGTCTACCATTCTACTTCATCTCAACGTGTTAGCTAATGTAACACTTTGGAAAACTCATTCCGAAAATTTTGAAACTTATTTAGTTGTATAGATTTGAACATAATGTTCAAGATCACTTGTTTTCAGCACTGAATGAGGCCAGGGCTGGTTGCTTTGTTGCTTTTTTAACTCCCAGAACTCGTGGACAGAAGAGGAAGAGCGACGACTTGGTTGTGGCTGCGAAGTCTGCCTGCCCAACGCCAATTGCAATTACACCCACACACATACACACACCCTCTTGTACTTGTACACCACACACGCGCGCGCAAGTGCGCATACATAAAACTATTCGTCTTTATCCTTTTTGTGTTTGACATGATCACATTTTGTACTACTCCCTGGTGATTATTTGCATAACATGAATGGCACAGGGATGACTTGTGGCATTGTACGCTGTACACGATTCCACGGTGCCATAAAAGTAACATTGGTTATAATCATGGATTATACCATGGTACGGTACGGAGGGGCTGTTTTCAGCCAATCAGCGCTGATCTAGCCATGGTTATACTGGCCAGTATAAATCCCGCGCGGGATTTATACTGGCCAATATAAATCCCGGTGCAGCAGTGAACTTGTACGGCGGCAGTACTCCAGCGCGCGGACCATTCACAACAGACACCACATGCACGTGTACACTCCACACAGAATGGCACACTGACGAGGAACAGTACACAATGGAAAAGAAGAATGACCTGGAATTCGTCTACAGAGTATTCTATTATACTGAATCTGAGGATAAAGAACGTCGAATAACCACGAAGTATCCCAAATGGGTCAGCAATGTACATTGTACTTCAAAGAGTTGAAGATCATCAACAGACTGTCTCCTTCGTAATTAAGTTTATAATACAGAGTGTACTTCAACCCAATTGGAAAATGCTGGATAGGATTGAAATGTGATACAGTGATACAAAACAGTGTATGCAAATGCATCTACTTGCAAGTAGTAAGCAAAACTGATTATAAGATGCCGCATGTTAAAATCAGCACGGTACCATAATTATAGTAACACTTACTCCCAAAGATTCCAAGCTGTAATCTAACTAGTGACGGTAGTTTGATTCAACGACAAACTCCAGCACCCCAGCAATTCAGTTGATTTCCGCACCGCTCACGAGACAAGATCATGAAGATGCTACAATATGCACTGGAACTGAAAGGAAATCTTATGCCAAACATCCACGGAGGAATCTCCTTCTGATGTTGCTCGACCATTCTTTCAATTGATAACTGATAACCATCAGAAGATGTTCGTGTACTGCATGATGTACGAGATCTCCAAATAGGTTCGTTGTTCTGGAAATGCGTAGGGGTACCTGGCATAAGTAGGATATGACCCTCCTAGTCGGGTTATACCGTACCCTCATATAAATCCCTCCTGCTATCGCAGTCGGGATTTATATTCAGCCGGTATAACCCTCTGACTCGGGTTATATCCTCTACGTAATGATATTGTACGATTCTGATTGCGTACGCTCTTGGTGGCCATATTTCATCGTCACGCATGCGCGCAGCTCCCCACAAAGTACAAATTGTAGTAAAAGCAATTACGTACTATTACGTATAGTAATATGCACACACATACAACTAGTAGTCACACAAAGTATCTATAATAAGCACACGTACTAGTAGTACATAAGCAGGCTATCTTTATCCTTTTACGCTTGGTCTGATTACCTGCATACCTGACTTACACGGCATGGTCACTTGCACCAGTAACAATGTACATAATTCCACACTGCCTTTATCATCAACACCAGTTCCTGTTAACGCGTAACATCTCAGGCTTTGTAGCAGGGAGTAGCACAATATCATTGTACCATTGTGCTACTCCTTGCTTGACGCAGACATGCGTCATAGTGACATTTGCGAATAGCTAGCTGTCTCAGCAGTATAAAATTTATTTTATTTTGTGTTTCACTCAGACGACTATAGCATCTGGATTCGGAATAGCCTTACTATCTTGAGACGGGTCAGCCATACGGGTCAGCCATACCTGAAACATGTCGTTCATTGTGACTAAAACTTGCGTCAACATTATCTATTCCCCTAAAAACGACGTGAATAACTAAAAGTAATACAAATTAAATTAGGAAGAAAAATCCACTCTTACAAGCCGCCCACGTAAATACTGGACACACTGAAGGTACCCGTGCGAAGGCCAGCTGCTACTTGATATCCTTCGTAGGATTCATCCTCATCACCCAGCAAAGACTGATGGATTCCTTCCCTACATCGTCAAAACAAACTTCAAAAAGTACTGCTCGAAAACTTCTTGACAGCATTCTGGCACTCTCTTGAAGTGGTTCTATGAAATTTTTTGAAAAATGCTACAAAATGCTACGATAAAGGTACGCAAAGTACGACATTTCGTGACGTTTCCCGGGACACAGCGCTCCACAGAAAAGTGACCTGAGGCAAAGCTCGCCCGCCTGGATGTGTGCCCGTGTCACCTCCCGGTACTGTACTACTCCCGGGTTGAAACGCTTCATGTAAACACAGCCTTACCCTCGACCGTACCTGTCCCGTACCTTCCCCGTATATGTCCTGCACCTGTCCCGTACCTGTCCCGTACATGTCCCGTACCTATCCCGTACCGTACCGTACATTCAAAGACGGCTGGCCACAATGCATATTCAAATAGGGCTTTCAACTACAAGATCATAATGTGAAGCAACTTGGAAGAATTAGTATGGATGCGAAGTGTATCGGGGGATGCATGCAGGGCGATAGTGCGGTTTCGAATCCCAGGTTATATCTAAAAACAAAAAGTAGAAACTTATAAGAATTAAAAAAACTTAGAATTTATAACATTCCTATGCTTTTTTGTCTAGGTCATCAAGGCAAAAAAGCATAGCGTAGGGCCCTGAGCTTCCAAGCTCTTTCGTTTGCTCACTATGTTGTTGTCACTATTTTTATTTTCCTTCGAGTTTTGTGTCGTGCTGAACTTGATAATTTTCCACCTTGTCACGAGTGTTGTTATCTCATTATCTTTACGCTATATAAGTTTTAGTCTTTCCAACTTGAGTCATTCCCTGTATAATTCTTGATGAGAAGGGAACGAAAACGTTCGGATACTTTTGACAAGTGCCTTATTGTGACTGGATGTGTGTTTGCGTGGATACTTGCGACCCAAACTTACCTTCGTAAAAAAAATTAATGATAATAATAATGCATTATCGCTCAACAACTCATCTTTCTTTGATGACGTCTCAATGACTAAAAAACCTTTCAGAAGGAATGCCTTTTTTAAGGGTGACATCTCGTACCTAAGATGCGTCATATACGATGGAATGCTTAAACTCTTCTTTCTTTCTTTCTTTCTTTCTGTAGCCATATAAGGGATGGTTATCAAGCCTACATTGACAATTTATCACTCTGCCCAATCTCTCAAGTATTATCAAGAGGTCTCTCATTTTCCAACCTACGTGGTTTGAAGAATGCATCAGTGGATTTCAGTAAGTGAAACTGACTGAGAAGCACAACCAATTAAAAAAATGTATCCAAGAGTAGATCATTTTGTACACCTAAAACTACAACTCTGGCCGTCATTATCTGCTCAGGCCATAGGGTTGTGAGCTTCTTTTTCGAAATGCAAAGCATGCCCTAGAATCAAAATCTCCCATATAGTGGGGAGCTGAGTAGAATAATATTAGTGCGAGGGATTTTGGGAGGGATTTTGTGCAAAGCAAATTATTCAAAGCTCCCCTTCGTTCCCATAGAAGCCTGGCTGAAGATACAGCTTTCAGAACCTCTAGTTGTCTAAATGCGGAATTGAACGGTCTTGTTCAGAGGAGTCTGCCATACAGAGCTCGGTTCTAATTTCCAATCGAGTACAGCCACATAGTGATGCATACTGGATTCATCTCACTTGTGAATACATGTACTTGAACTAATGCAAATGAAACAGCATGACACACATATGCTCAGGCCAACGGTGTCCACAAAGTAAAAAGCCCATGCATTGCGCACTGTTCAACTTGCACTATGGTTGGACCATGGCAGACCGACAGGAAAATGTTCGGAATTGGGTTAAGCAACTTTCTTCCTGATCTTGATTGCGCTGCTGTGGAGTTTTTAGTAGTATGCAACAATGAAAAAGGCGGAGCAAGGCAAAGGAAATTATACAGCGAATTCAAAATACAAGCACCATGCAAAATTTCCATTCAACGTGTGCTCTCATCAGTGCAAGTGCGGCGGACTGATCATTCGAATCCACACTGCTCGAGGGCACTGCTTGCTTTAATGTATTGCTAACATAATGTACCAGCACATCCAGGTTGGGGACTGCACTCAAACCTCGTTAATCCGGGCAGTCCGGTGCATGTCAGGCACTGTATGGGCGAACACTGTATAAGCCCTGTGCCTTTGTTCCTTACCATAGTAATTCATCAGTTAGCATTCTATTCAATTGTTCGCTGGACTTCTTCTTCCTGTTCTGTATTTTACTACATTGAAACATCGTCAAGAAAAACATTGATAAGACAAACTGTCGCTCTAGAAGGACTAGCAATCATGAGATTAAAAAGAGAAAGGACCAATACGTTACCAGTTATGACTAGCAGTCCACCAAGGTAACGAGATTTATACAGTCAGACAGTAATACTGTAAATCAGCCAATTTCTCTGGGGATTTAAGTTTGTTGATTTTGTCGCTTGGCGCCAACTGACCAAAGTAAATTGCAGGCCAAAGGTCGTCATAGACACAAAAGACGCAAGATTAAACCCCAATCGGCTAAAGTTTGATTGCGTATAAAATTTTCATTTTGAGATCTGCCAAAGTTTCTCTCCGGCCAGCGTTTGTTGATTTGTAGTAACTTATTGGGTTTTTTCGTTTTTACTCATCATCGATAGAGTTGGATTCAGAGACATCATTCACAATTCTCTCGCTGATTAATGCGATCACCTTGTGATTATGAGTTATACATGCATACATACATTGGCTCACATTCCGAGCTTAAATCATGAGATAATTACATCGTATAAATCACTGTGTAATTACTGGGGGTTGTAAAGTATGGATACGCAGAACTCCAGTTGTTGCAAACACATGGTCAGCAATCGAGGACATCTGAGAGTTGTAATTTTTGTACTCCTCCGAGGTGTGATTTTTGGCGTGCTGGGCCAAGCACAAGGAAGCCATCTGCAAAAAAACTGAAGAAAATGGTTGTTGTTTGATCCTTTGGTGTCATCTTTGTTTCTAGTCGAAGCTAGTTGCTGTTTTGAGCAGAAACGCTGAAATTGACTATTTTCTGCATGACTCAGTCATGCTGTCTCACTCGTATTTTAGCTCTTTTTCTGGAATGGATGCTGCTCTGCGCCCCTTGATGAACATTTCCTGCGCTCGTGGAGCAGCTGAAAAGGACCACTGGTATGTCTGGCTCCTAGTTTGAAAGTGGAGAGTCGACGTTTGTGCCTTGAAAAAGGAGTGGAGAGCGATAAAGGTACGTCTGTGGCTTATTTTTCAGAGCTCCTCGTACATTTTTGATCGTGATAGAAAATTCTCAGACCAAAGTCAGACCAAAGTCAGCGCGAAGATGGCCGTACAGTTTTCTTGTGTATTTTTTAGTTGTTTCATCTCGTATCTATGTCAGTATCGTGACGGTGAAGTGGAGAGGGTGATTTTCTTCATCTAGGCTTCGTTCAGCCGACTTTGCTTCGTTCTCGTTGAATAGTGATCTGGAAAAAAAGGTTGATTCGCAAAATTATGTTGATTATCAATGTATGTGATGACATGCGATTGCTGGCTATGAAACACCAACGGCCCATTGGTGTTTATCCTGGAGAGCAGTCATGCAACAAATGGTATTTTCTTCGAACGAATACTCCCTCGAATATCGCTTCGGCGCGACGAACGAATATTCTGCATTCTTCTTAAGTGGCTCAATCACTTCACTCAATCAGACCCAATATTCATGTTGTGTACAGATAATGTAGATACAGTAGCAAGATCCACTGGTGACAGAGCAATTTTGTTCACAGAACAAGCTTCACAGTTCTCAAAACATTATGTCTTCCCTCTCATCATCAACAATGCGGAGGAAATCATCGTTGGAGCAGCATACTACAGCAACGCAGCACGAATCTTCGAGTAAACGTATATTCGACTGTCACTGCCTGCTTTCGTACATATCCTTTTTGATGTCGGTATTCTTGAATCATGATTCCGAATATACTAATATTCCTTTGCATCAGTGCTGAAGAGGTGTATCTGTATTCACAATAATTGCACTGGTTTACCGTGAGTTTTTTGTTTGCCTTCTCCTCTCCATGTGCAGTGATAGACACATGCAAAGGAGCATATGTGGGATGCTATCATGATGATAACAGAACCAAGTTCTTCTGTGAGTGCCCGAGCGGGAAACTCTACGGCGGTCGTGATCTTGGCTGCCAGGACGCGAGCGTTTGCCGCCAGCAGTTTAGCACCAAGTGTACCCTCTTTCCAACCTGCACGCTACTGCCATGCACCTTGAACTACAACTGCGTATGTCTGCCCATGCTGACGTTGTCGAATAACGGATCCAACTGCCAGCAGATAAATGAATGTGCGGTGAATACCTCGCTGTGTGCAATGAACGAAATCTGTGTTGATACGTTGGCAAGTTATTACTGTACATGCAAATCAGGATACTACAGTGAGTCTATAAAGATATTTGATGTCATAGGAATCCGCACCTAGTCATTTAAAATGTATTTGACTGTACGGTACTCTTTGTCTTGTTCTTCAGTACATGTAGATTACATCAGAGTTGAACATACAGTAAAAGCTAGTATTAACTTCATAGTGGAAGTGGTTCCTTGGGATACTCTGTGATCAAACAATGTGATCAGCTGCATGCAGGCATCAGTAAAAGAGTACAAACTTGACAGCTGTAGCACTATGTTGTCCTATTTTGAACAGTTTCGCCGATTTCATTTCAGAATGCATGGATGCTGCGTTCTATGTTCAATTTCAATGTGTTTTTTTCTTTTTTTGGTCGGATGCATTCTTGTCCTGTTAGGAGGTGGTGGGATTTGCACCAACGCCAATGAATGTGAGGTTGGTGGATTCACACCCTGTGCAACAAATGAGGTGTGCATTGACTCACCAGGGTCATACACATGCCAATGTTCAAACGGATTTTCGGGTAAATTCTATTGTGGTGATTATTACAATGTTTGAAAGTGCTATGTCACACAGGGGCATTGGAAGGTAATTTAAGGTGGTACGGCCGCTGGAGGGTCGGTACGGTGTCCTTCATAAATGTTAGTTTGCCATCACTGCCTGCTACCTTGAACCATAGATCGCTTGGAAATCGAAGTTTCAAGACCTGAACCTGGATGCCCGGCTTGTTCAACATCTTCTGTATTTCTGAAGGGTCTGCCTCAAAGTCTCATGAAGACATCCTCAGCCGCAAGTGCAGCAAAGCTGGACGCCACAAACTCAAGCTTTGTCTGTCAGCAATGCCCTGCCTCAATTTCCAGCTGATTTATTTACTTCGAGTGGACGGAATAGATTTGAAACAATCGCTCTGGGAAGCAACAATTGCGATCACTTGGAGGAAGTACATTCGACTCGTCCACCCATCACACCTCATACATGTAATTCACCATGGCCATAGTGAATCCAAGAGTCAGTATTTGCCTAAAGAAATTGCCTTCTGACGTCATAGCTTTCAAGGCCTAATCTAAGTTTCTGAGTGCTAGCTCAAATTAGTAAATGACAATTCAGTCGCCCTCACAACTCAACATAAGCCCTCTTTATGGCCGAAACAGCTTGCCGTCTACGGCATTGGGGAGTACAAGAGTCTCAAATAGTTGCCTTTTTCTCTTTTCAGGCAGTTCACTTCCCCGACTGATCCTTTGAACTTGAATTTCTCTCGATCCTTTAAAAATTAATCCCTTTCTTTCTCTTCCGGTAGGACGTTCCAGAAAGTGACTGACTCCTGGGAAGGGAAATGACCCGAGTGCCATCAGGATGTGTGGCACGTGTTGTGAGCTGCCTTTGGAGTGACAAAAACTTGTCAGTGCCTCCTAGTTTCAGCCTGGTTCCAAAGCTCAGTTGGTTAGAACATTGCGCATGACAAGCGTGGTCCCGTGTTGAGCCCTGTTGGGTCTGGAATTTCTTTCTCTTTTCAGGCAGTTCACTTCCCCGACTGATCCTTTGAATTTGAAGTTCTCCAAACCATTCTAATTCAACTAATTGTGCCTGTTTTTCTTTCCAATCCCAGGATCTGGGAGAACATGTTCGGATGTCAATGAATGTTCTACAACCAGTAGCAGTGCTGTCACATGTCCACAGAACTCAACTTGCTTAAATACAATCGGGTCGTATGAGTGTAGGTGTGATGCTGGCTTCCAGGATATTCTACAACCCACATCGCTGACATCTCCTCGTTGTGAAAACATTGATGAATGCTGTAATGGCCAGGCGGACTGCTCTGCTGATATGCTATGCAAAGATACCGTGGGATCATATCAATGTTTGTGCAAAACGGGATTTGTCTGGCAAGGTATGTTTGCTGACAATATCAGTTGAAAGAGCATGAACAACTGCAACAGATCTGAAAGTTTTGCCTCGATCTGACCAGCCGTTCAAGAGTTCTGGCCGAAATTGTGCCTTTGTAAGGAACGTTTTTTTGTTCCACGCTGTCACTTTTTGGCAGCACTGTATTTGAATCTGGGGAGACCGTGCAACTTGTCGTATCATGGAAAACGCGAAAGTGTGCAGAATTTTGCTCCAAGTTCAAAAAATCACATTTTTTAGCCATGTATTGGGCTGCAAAGCCCACCGCCGTGCAGCAGGACTTTTGCCAGAACCCTCCTGATGTTGCAGATACAGTCAGACCTCGCTTAACCGCACACATCTGTTTTCCACAAAAACATCCGGATAGGCGAGGTAACCGGATAACTGAACACACATACTGTATATGCATGTGGCATGTCAAAAGCAGTGACATCATACATACATGTAGACGGGTCCTATGCAGTACAACTAGCGTGCCCAGTATGTAAACCAAGCGAGAAAAATGACAAGTGCATGCAACCAAGAGTACATGAAAACCAGAGTGTGCAGCTTGGGGCCTTTTCTGCTATGGGTGTCTGTCACGGCGAAATTCCGTGATTACATCATATTTGGCCCAGATCTAGGCGGGAAATGGCGTAGTGCGTACAACTGAGCTGCAGTTGTGCAGAAAGAGACCTGCTTGAATCCTGCTTGTACGCACTACATCACTAAAATGATGTAATCACGGAATTTCGCCGTGACAGCAACCCATCCGAGCTGCACACTCTTGTTTTCATGTACTCTTGATGCAACTGAGTGCTGTCCGCACACACCCAGCAGGTCAAGGACCTCATTTGCTTGTACAACTCATTGATACTAGCTTCTGCAGGCGCTAGCCAGCCACATGCAACCGGATACGACAAAGCATTTTGTACACATTTTAACCAGTTTGTACACAAAATCATGCACCGGTATGCGGATCGCGAGGTCCGGTTATGTTGTATGCATAACATATGCTGCACATTGGTAACCAGCGATTTTCTTCCGGATGGCGAGGGATCCGGATAAACGAGGACCGGATAAACGAGGTCTGACTGTATGTGGCTGGATTATTGTAGTTGACGTTGATTTAGTGACTTTGGCAAGTTTGAGTCGTGTCAAGAAGTCAGGTAGGATTCAGTACTAGGCGGTAGTGGAACGTGAGTGGTAGTCTTTGCCGATTTTTGAGGGTATCCTTGATTTGGTGTGCAGCGCTGTGGAAATGGCTTACTGTGGAGGTCCCAGGACTGGATGTTGTATCAAAGGTACGACCTCGTAGCACGCCCTGAACCTAAAAAAATTCAAAAATTCACTTGGTTCTTTGGGAGTCTGTCAGAGAACGCCCACTCGTGCCATTGTGACAGATTCCAGGGCCACGTTGAGGAGCCCTATCCCACCACCCATGGCTGCTTCTGGACTTTTTTCGGTTTGAATCCCGCACACGGACAGAATGGGCAAGATAATGTGAAAAAAATTGTAAATGCATTTTTTTAGTGCTGAAACGAGTACTCCATAAGCTATCGAGCGAGTACTGTCACTATCGAGTCGAGTATCGAGTACTCTATAAGCACACATGCGCATATATGTCATGACGTCAGTACCACATACCCAATTTTTTGCACACCATTTACGCAATTCAATATCCTTCAATAAACACACATTTTCATTGCAAAGCCACATGGACGACGGACGTGTACGTCACTATCAAGTTTTTTTAGTTTTATATTTTATTTATTTATTTATCGAGTATCGAGTCCTTTTTTGATATCGAGTCGAGTACTCAACGAGCGGGTACTCGAGTACTCGGCGTACTCGTTTCAGCACTAATTTTTTTGCCCCTGAGTGACTCGCGCACCGTGGCAATATGCCGGAGTTGTGAGTTTTTCCGGCCTGTAAAGCCTGTCAGTGAAGCGCAAGAACTTTTAAATCATGTCCAGAGGACCGGGATAGTGGCAGGAGTGTGTGGTGAAAATTTCACTCAAATCCATTGAGAGAAACCAAAGTTACGGTCAATTGAACGCCACATGAAATTTATGGTTAGGCTGCCACCTTAACCCTTTAAGAGCCACAGGAAAATTTCATAATTCTGCATTTTTCGTGTTCCTTGGATCATAGCTTCAGTTCTACTCACTCAATCCTCAAAATCTAGGGCTTCCTGGAAAGGTCTCCGCGAGAGGAAGAGAATGAGGTCGATCATGATAGCCCCAAATGCGTCCAATTGCGTCCCGCTCCAGATATTTCATTTTACTCGATCGTGGAGTTGTAAAAAAATTTCGCTGTGTACTCTTGACAATATCAACAGTGAAATCCGTGCAAATTCGAGTAAACCAGCGTGACGAAAAGTCTCAAAATTTTCAACACTAAAGTCGCACTTCCCGCTTTTGAAATTGCCGCGATCGCGGCTCAACTTACGAGTGATTTATCTCAGGAATCGTTGCTCGCAGCATTTCGCGGATTGTTTCTCCCGACAGGTGAGAGTTTTCTCTTCGCCCTGGATATTTCGATCACTGGGTTTGAGCGAGATTGGACTGAGTTACGATCTTTTGCAGTTTTGCATTTGAATGCGTCATTTACGACGCATTCAAGTATGGGGCGGCTCTTAAAGGGTTAACATGCTGGTTTCAGGAGAATGGTAACGGTAATGCACCTCCATGGCTCTGAACCATTGTGTGGTTCCAGACAGGTTGAGGTCTATCTTGAGCTGCAGTGCTGGAAGCTAGTCTAAGCGCATGTTTATAATAGATGCCAAAAATCACTTTGAAGTGTAACGTGCGGTTTAAATGAGCAGTGTAACGATACTGAAGGAAGCTATCGATGTGTTTGCAAGGCGGGATTTTGCCTTCAAGGTAGGATACCATCGCATAACTATTGAGATTACTATTGTCACTGCTGTTGACGGCTGTCCCTTTAAGTGCAACTTTTAAAAAGCAGGTGCATGATATAGCTTTCAACAGAACTCAACACGACACAATGAATATGCCTTGGGCGGGCCTGGAGTAGTGTTTGGCGGATAATGCCCGCAGAAAATTGGCAACGTGTTGTCTCTTTTTTGGACGGTTTCATGCATGTTTGGTATGTTGGCGAAGAAATGGAGCAGAATTCAAGGAGGGTGAGTGACTTGACTTTTGTATGGTTCTGGCATATTCATTTCTTTTCGAGCAGAATCTACCAACTGTTCGAGCCTTATCCACCAAAGGCTAGCGTCTCCATGGCGGCTAAAACCGTCTACCTGGACGTCCAACGTGTTTTCAGATAAACTACAACAGCAACGACCAATTTTATTGACGACTACCACCAAGAAGAAGTCACTTTCAAAGCGATAGCGCAAGAAGTCTTTTCGCTTTGATCGCGGTGACCAAATAACGACATCGGTTCTGTTTTCTGCAAACATTCGAATTTTGAAAAATCGCCAGGACTCCGGTTCTTGCTGCCAATGCCTCACATGTAGATAGAAGAGGAGTTGAAATATTATGACTGTGTATGAAATGTACTGGTGCTAAGTAAACTACTCTAATTTCAGAAATTTTCGGTGCTCAATATTTTCGGTATGAGGGCAACAGGCCGGGTTAGGTGAACAGAAATTTTCGGTACAGAGAAGCAGTTCCCTATTGGATCATTATGTGTGTTAGTGTTTGTTTGGTGTATTGAAATTTTAGGTATGAAACAAGCGCACCGAAAGTACAGAAAATAAAAGTACACCGAAAATTTGTGAAATTACAGTAATCCAACTACAAGACTGTCATTTGACAGTACCTTGGAAAAGGACTGTTTAGCAAGAGCAGCTAGCAACTGCAAGGATATGCAGCTGCACTGACAACATCTGTAGACATCTGGGGCAATGGCTTCTAACTTTCTTCCTTGCAACCGATGCTGACAATCCGTGACTGTCAATGCTTATGCTGTCCGCCTAGGAAAAGATGACGTATGTGAAAATATCAACGAGTGTCAAACCTCTGCTGAGAATCCCTGTACGACCACATCACAGTGCATTGATACCGATGGATCATTTGTGTGTCTGCCAACTTGGCGTGGAGAAGCTCTTTTCCCATCGTCGACTTCCAGCAAAGCAAGTGAGTCCATCATAGTTTTATCTGGGGTGCCATTGGAAGGGTGAAGCATATTAAGATTGAACTCGGATAATGGGCCAGAATTGAATGTAAAAGTAGAAGAAGGAAACCCATGGGAAAGAGTTATGAAGCAACTATCCACGACTGTAAATAAGTTGGTTTGCACACTGGAGATGTGTTAGACCCAGGCCTTAAGTTGTTGTATGTCTGTAGCCTGTCCGTTTTTTGCCGTGTTATTGCACGTTCTGACTGTTTTTGTAACAGCTGTGGGTAGTTGCTTCTTAACTCGTTCACATGTGTTTTCTTCTTCTTTTTCACATATTTCAAGAGTTCGGAATTTGAAGAGGACTTGACTCGAGGACACTGTTATTATAATTATTTTATCATGGCGCCTGTGTACACTTAAGATGGAGTATTTCGGTCTAGTGGTACTGGTCCGCACCTGTACTTGTAATGTACACATTGTCACATTCTATGAGTTCAAACATACAATGTAGTGCTCGTGGAATTTGAACCTGGCTCGTACTTTTGAAGTGCTGTACAGTAAAACCTGTAACTAAAGACCACCTTGACTAGCGACCAACCTGGTATTACACACCACTTTGCCAGGCACGGACCGTCTCACATTCACATATTTACAGTAAAACATGTGAACAACGACCACCCCTTCGACTTGGCGCCAGAGAAAGCGGTACATAGTGGCAGGTGGTCCTTAGTTAGAGGTTTGCACCGCACAACCATAATTATATGTTCTCTCTCACACCTCACATTTGCAACAGCAAAACCACAGTGCAGGGTCGGCTGCGAACAGCCACATTGCAAGACAAAGAGCAAAAAACAAGCTTCGCAAATATTCGAAGTTCGAGAGAACATTGCTTCTCGTTTCTTTCGAATTCTCAGCCAACGAGAAGCGTACACAATGTGAGACCGTCCGTGCCTGGCGAAGTGGTCTCTACAACCAGGCTTGTCGCTAGTCACGGTGGTCTTTAGTTACAGGTTTTACTGTAGTACCAGGCTGGTCGCTAGTCACGGTGGTCTTTTGTTACAGGTTTTACTGTAGTACCAGGCTGGTCGCTAGTCACGGTGGTCTTTAGTTACAGGTTTTACTGTAGTACCAGGCTGGTCGCTAGTCACGGTGGTCTTTAGTTACAGGTTTTACTGTAGTACCAGGCTGGTCGCTAGTCACGGTGGTCTTTAGTTACAGGTTTTACTGTAGTGCCAGGCTGGTTGCTAGTCACGGTGGTCTTTAGTTACAGGTTTTACTGTAGTACCAGGCTGGTCGCTAGTCACGGTGGTCTTTAGTTACAGGTTTTACTGTAGTACCAGGCTGGTCGCTAGTCACGGTGGTCTTTAGTTACAGGTTTTACTGTAGTACCAGGCTGGTCGCTAGTCACGGTGGTCTTTTGTTACAGGTTTTACTGTACTTGCATGAGTCTATTATGAACTTAGCGCTTTGGGGCATCATTATTAATTTCTATTTTCCTCTTTTTGCACCACGTTACTCTATTTACGTCAAAAGAGGTGAACTCGGATGGAGAACCAAGGATAAATTTATTAGTGTTGAAACGATCTCACCGGATACTCGTTATCTCGCTCGCCAGAAACTCGGCTCGTTTGTGCGGCCAGCTCGTTTGCACTAACGAACACCGTACACCGTACTCCGTACACATGGCAGTACATGTCGACCGGGGCCGCGCGGGGAGTCGTAAAATATTTTACGACTCCCTGGTCGATCGAGAGTCCAGTCCCGCGCAAAGTGAAAATCACTCGCAGTTACAGGTGACTGTATGCCTGCACGACACTTGAGTTGTTTCAGTTGTCGTTGCAGCTTTGGTGGACTCTACTGATGTCTTGTTCCGCATCTGCTGACCTGTCGCAGGATATGCTTCGGTCACCTCTCCATTCGAGTGAAAGTTACGCTCAGTCGTTTGGAAGTTTTTTCCCGCGATGCAGCGAAGACCAGGGCTACTTGCAATCTTTGCAAAACGGTCTATTCTTACAAAGGCTAATCGACGATGGCGCTGAAAAGACATCTCGACACCAAACAGCAGTCCGAAGTGAAGCAGCAGCAACCCCAAATGCCGGCGGTGATAATTTGAACCAGCTGAAAAAAATCGAACTTAGAAAAAAATATTCAAAAAAATATTCATATTTGCCACATCAATGAAACTCGTTAGCTCGCTCGATAGCTTGCTCGTTAGTGGAACTGATCGCTTGTTTGTTATAGATACGCTCGTTTCAACACTAAAATTTATAGTAAATAAAAAAGGACCGAGAAGCTGCAAGTTACGCTATACTGCCGACAAACACCACCAGTTACTAAACAATCAGCTCATGCGATAACATTGCACGACACTGACCGACGGCACTGACGTTCTACAACCAACTGGCTACCAGCTCTAGCACATCTTGGATGTGCACTCCAACAGCCATCCAACTTGGAAGGTTCTAAGTTATAGACATAACATGATCGTGCTTATCTTGGTTGGGCTCAACTTCCCCTCCTCATGTTATTTCTATAACTTAGAACCTTCCAAGTTGGAAGGCTGTTGGAGTGCACATCCAATATGTGCTGGAACTGCTGGCCAGTTAGCTGTAGAAGGTCAGTACCGTAAGTCAGTGGTGTGCAATGTTATCGCATGAGCTGATTGTTTAGTAAATGGTGGTGTTAGTGAACATTATAACGTTACTTCTTGTTTCTTGGTCCTTTTTTCTTTACCATATTCAAAAGAAGTATTTTTTGTGTTGTGTTCTAGCGTCATTAGCATCATGTACTGCATACGGTTAAACCAAGGAAGAAATATTTTTGCAACTCCAAAAAAATTGTTCCAACATGAAAAATGAAAAAGTGCGACTTGTATAATTATAAAATGAAAAGAATCACGAGGAAACGACTTATGAAGCAACTATTCACGACTTTAACAAGATTATATGCAGTCAGAAAGTGTGATAACAGGGCACAAAACTCACAGCCTACGGAGGCATTCAATGACCCAAGACCTCGCTTTCACACCTCCAGAGCTAGGTCTCAGGTCATTGAATGTCTCCGTAGCCTGTGAGTTTTGTGCCCTTAATGTCTCAGTGTAACGTAGAAGCTGCGAAGTACTGTATAGCAGGAAATTTTCGGACGGAATATATTTTCGGACGATTTCGTACACGGCCTTTTTGTACTAAAATTAATTCCGTACTAAAATTTGTTCATGTGACTTATGTACACTGTACATGGGTACTGCTTGCGAATACGTGCATTTAGCATGCAGCACTGTACGCAAATAAAATCCGTACGAAAGGTCGAAATTCGGCTTTGTCCGAAAATAATTCCGTCCGAAAATGTCCTGCTATACAGTACCCTGACATTTAAAAATTTCGGAACACTACACCACACAACATTGTGCTCTTGACCCACATTTACAACACTATACTGTCCACAGAGAGTAATTTTTTTTAACACCTTCATTTTCATATATCGGCCTATTCCCTACTCCAAATCGGCATGTTCTGCGGATTTGTAGCCGTGCTTGGCAATTTTAATCCAGCAATACTATTTTGTAGGTGTGTAACGTACAGGTTCCTGCATGAGTTCGAGGGCAGCACCGCGGAATCCAGCCCGCGCCGCCATAGCGTCAAGAGCTGCATGAACAGCGGTGCCGGTGGTGACCGAGTATGAGTGACTGGAACGTGTTTCCGTATGCACCCAAGCCAAATAAGCAAAGAGATACATGACATGCGCACCACGTGCCCATGCATTGTGTTTTCTGATTGTTTACTGGTACAGTACTCAGTAGTACTCCATAGTGCTTTTTTCTCGTGGTGGCCATTGACATTGTCGACTGGGAATCGGGCATTCTGACAGTTCTGTTCCTACGGATTTTTCCCAGGTCTTGATCGGAAACCTGGGAAAATTGCGCGGTTCCTGCAGGTTGCTGAGCATTACGGGCTTTGGTTGAGGTTCATCCGACTCGTCCAAGATGTCCTTCGTGAGCGACTCCGCAATAAAGGTTTCAGTCTCTTCCTCAACTTTTTGGAGGAGCTCATTCACATTGCCAATATCGTTCAGCAAAGAAGTTTCTTTTCTCCCAGTTCCAGATCAAATGTTTCAGCACCATGATGACAGTTGTGGTTGCAAACAGTCGCTCTTCTGCTTTAGTTATTTATTAGTAAGCTCTTTTTTTATCTTGTTGGTTTTCCACTTAGTCGCTATTTTCGCGCAATCCGGTGCCTTGTATTTTATGAAACACGCTGCAAGTAACCAATGAAAGACCATGAAGTAGAGAGTCAGTCCAGTGGCTACTGGCACTATTGCCCGTCGTCAAGTGACGACGGGCAGTCGCATCCGTTAATGCCCGTCGCCAAGTAGCGACGGGCAGTGGAATCCGTTCCTGCCCGTCGTCACTTGATGGCAGGCAGTGGAGTCCGTTCCATTACCTTTGAGCAGACAGGCTTTCCAGCCCGTGCTGTTAGATCTGTCATTGGTCAACTCTAAGGCGACAATCACGTGACATGCGGGAATGCTATTTTATGTACTTAATCAATAACCGCCGGCTGGCATGGTATAATAACCTTTCTGCTTCTTCTTTTCCTGTTTTCATTAATTAATGGCATTTTTCTTTTACCTCTAAATTAATGGTTCTTTACAATCTGTATCGCATTTTGTGGGTTCAGCAATACAGAATGTACGTATTTAAACTAAGCCTTCAGGCTGATGGCATTAAATAAACTTGGGGTTGTGAAGAAGACCTTTTTTTGGAAAGTCCAATCTTTCCTTCGTTCTTTCTATTCAGGTGATAGCACTACAAGCACAACAGCAGCTGTTCAAATCGCCACGCTAGCCGTGGGAACCATACTGCTCGCTTGTGCCATCGCGAACCTTCTCGTGGTCAGCAAGGTGAGAAAACAACAGCAGTGTGACAAGATAATGCACTTAGAAAATGCCGGGCGCGATCAAGAGATGCAGGAGGTTATCCTTCACCCCAGGCCTGGGTTTCCAAGCCATGCACGGCTGGGCAATTCTCAAGCTGAACCTTCGACAGTGACCGCCAACATCGGATCCACCTCTGCTCCTCGTGCAAAGAGTCCGCGGCATGGGCGCACCAACATCAATTCTCAGCAGGCGGTAAACCGTGACACTTCCCAGCAATGTGGCTTGGTGCGGAACGAGGCATATGGCATTCATGTGAACACAGGCATACCACAAGGCGATGAACATAACCCACATCTGGAGACCATCATGAGTTCTCCTAGCTTTGAGGAACCAGGGTACGAAATGACCACCTAGACGTTGAGCACACAAAGCCCTCACATTGCCCTCACATTGCCCTCACATTGCCCTCACATTGCCCTCACATTGCCCTCACATTGCCCTCACATTGCCCTCACATTGCCCTCACATTGCCCTCACATTGCCCTCACATTGCCCTCACATTGCCCTCACATTGCACCCCCTCGGATAAAGTGTATAACAACTCTCCCTCTCTCTTTCTCTATCTCTATTTCTGTCCCTATGTCTCTGTCCCGCTCTTTCTGTCAGTCTGTCTGTCCGTCTTCTGTCTGTCTGTCTGTCTGCCTGTCTGCCTGTCTGCCTGTCTGCCTACCTGCCCGCCTGCCTGCCTGCCTGCCTGCCTGCCTGCCTGCCTGCCTGCCTGCCTGCCTGCCTGCCTGCCTGCCTGCCTGCCTGCCTGCCTGCCTGCCTGCCTGCCTGCCTGCCTGCCTGCCTGCCTGTCTGTTTGTTTGTCTCTCTGTCTGTATGTGTCTCTGTCTCTCCGTCTATCTGTATCTCTGTCTGTCTGTATATCTGTCTGCCTGTCTGTCTGTCTGTTTGTCTGTCTGTATTTCTCTCTCCTTGTTCCTTTACCTCTTATCGAATACTAGCCAATTTGCCCTCTCAATTTTCTTCCTCTACTGCGCATATAGTTACTTGTTTCCGTTATCTTATAATAATAATAATAATAATAATAATAATTTAAATAACCGACGAGGAGACAACAGTCGTAAAATAGCAATGAAAAATATCAATTGTGCACTCATAATCATGTATAAACAATTAAAATGAAACAATTCCAGAACGTTTTCGTGTGACCATCATCAGTGGAACATCGTCACATAGTAAGAATCACTAAAACAACCAGTTATATAGCTAGAGTAACATGATAAGAAGCGTGAGAATGCAGCACAGCTAGCGGTTATGCATAACGCGTGTAGTGTGAACCTTTGCAGTGTATCTGAGAATGGTAGCAGTAGATGAATGTGGCAGCTGTGAGTGCGTGTGAACAAAAACTGGTGAGTGTGTATTATTTAAAAAGTGTGAGTGCTACAACATTTTCTTTTTGCTTGCATAGAACAGGGTCACGTGTGCGAATATATACAGCTTCCAACACCTGCAACTGCTTAAAGAAACGCGCGCGACAAATAACACTAAACCAGGAATCGTCAAACAACTTACGACAATCCGGACTGGACACCAAATGCTTGTAGATGGCAGACTTGCTCTTGTCGATGTCGAACTCCTCCTCAACACACGAATCTGGTGTAACTCTTGACGACAACAACACGGCATGGGAGACCACCGGACGATCGTTCGTTAACAAACCTGACGGCGGTAACGGAAAGATCACCAGGAGAACGAAATGAAAATGGAGGAAAAACGAATCTGAGGAGAAGCCAGAGACTAGCGGAGACACGACTGAGAAGAATGGAGAAGGCGGAACCAGTAGTGGCAGGTGAAAGTACGGGCGCAGCAGTGAACACGTCAAGGAGAAAGAAGCGATGGCATGAGGAGATGGAGATGGAGGATGATGATGGGGATGAACAGGATGGTCAGGAGGAAAGCAAGGGTGAGCGGGAGCAGGAAGTGGAGGATGAGAGTGATACGGACGAGGAGGAGTTCGACATCGACAAGAGCAAGTCTGCCATCTACAAGCATTTGGTGTCCAGTCCGGATTGTCGTAAGTTGTTTGACGATTCCTGGTTTAGTGTTATTTGTCGCGCGCGTTTCTTTAAGCAGTTGCAGGTGTTGGAAGCTGTATATATTCGCACACGTGACCCTGTTCTATGCAAGCAAAAAGAAAATGTTGTAGCACTCACACTTTTAAATAATACACACTCACCAGTTTTTGTTCACACGCACTCACAGCTGCCACATTCATCTACTGCTACCATTCTCAGATACACTGCAAAGGTTCACACTACACGCGTTATGCATAACCGCTAGCTGTGCTGCATTCTCACGCTTCTTATCATGTTACTCTAGCTATATAACTGGTTGTTTTAGTGATTCTTACTATGTGACGATGTTCCACTGATGATGGTCACACGAAAACGTTCTGGAATTGTTTCATTTTAATTGTTTATACATGATTATGAGTGCACAATTGATATTTTTCATTGCAATAATAATAATAATTGCAATTTCAAATTTGGACTTCACGGAGAATTTCAAAGTTTTAGGAAATTAGAGGCCACGTGCCACAGCACGCGTAATAAGATAATTCCGTTATCTGCTAATTCTAATTTGTTGTCATTGAAGCTTGTTCCTTCCGCTGAACCCGAAACCCAGGATTGGGTGAGGTGGTCCCTCGCTGTATTGTCACATTTTACCCTTGGTTCTGGGTTCTCATAAAGTTCTCTGCTGGACTGTGCACTTCAGTATAACGTTTGGAACAATTCCATCTGCAGGGCTATACTAGGCACATCATTGGCTGATGTGTCCAGTTCAAGGATGTATAACACTTTTTGCTACATTATGGTATTGGGCTGATTAGGTATAGTTGCGCTCTGTTTCTTCTGCATTTCCCCCAATTTTCATCACATGCATTCTCTCAGCATAGCAGTCCATGTGTGTGTGTGTGCACACGCGCGCGCGTGTTTGTGTGTGTGTTTGTGTTCCTAGAAGCGTTTCCTTGCTCACTTTTCTTAACTCTCGTTGCACTCAGGAGTCTCCTATGTTCAATTTTCGTATTCCATTGCATTTGATCATTTTTGGGCTGATCATGCGCCAGAGCACACACACAGCCACTTTCGCACACCGTTGCTGTCCGCCGTTTCCGGATGTTGGGTCATGTTCTGAGGATGCCCTCAGATGCCCCGCCACAGCAGGCAATGGACAACTACTTCCGTCGAGATGTCACCGGTGTGCGTGGACGCCCGAAATCGAACCTGGCCACGGCAGTCAAGGCAAGCACAGCTGCCAGAGACATGCCACTGAAGACCATGACTGATCTGAGTGGGCTCAGAATGCGCGCTTTGGACAAGCAATCATGGAGGGAACTCTCAGCCTGAGCTGGTTTTGCTCGCGGCTGCAACGCACGGGGTAGTGAACCCAGGACAGAAGCGGACCAGGCATCATGACTTTGCACATCTATCGTTATGCTGCTTCATTACGCGACCTGTTTTATTATTATTATTATTATTCATGCGTCTTTCAATGTGATTTTATTATTAAGAATGAATGCTTTGCTCGCGTTTAAAAAACGTACCCCAGCGTCTTGACCAGCGACTTGTATGGACCCCTATATTGATCATTGTCCAGACATTTCTGACTCTGAGATAAGGCAAATAATAAATGTGAGTTCATTCCACAGGGAGTGAGCAGAGCGCCGAGTCAGATTCGTGCCTTGTTGTCGCACTATGTGACGGTATTATAATAATTATGTTAATACCTCGTTGCCTTGGTGGACTGTTAGTCACATCTCGTACTTGAAAGGTAATGAGCTTCGCTTTCCAGTGATGTAAGTTTGTTTGCAATGGGACTAGATTTGAGTGAGCGGCGATGAAAGTCTTTAACGGTAACCCATCATTGGAAAAATACACCAGCTTTTGGATGAAAAGGTGGAGCTAAGTGCTGATTTTACAGAAGATATTGACGCAGGATGTGTACACTCAATTACATGCAGCTTACACATGTGAAACTACCATAATAAACGGAAAAGGGTAGAATGGAACATAAGCCTTTTTTACGGGCAAACAGAATACAGTTCACGGTGGCATGGTGAATGAATAGAACACAAGATCAAGAGGGGTAAGTAGCAGCATTCGGCCTTGTCCAGATTCTTGTCAACCACCACACTACACCGCTGCGCTCTCCGGCCGTCCTCGACACGTTGCCACAGCACACCATCAGCAAAACGACACTTCAGTTGTTACTCTGCTCCTTCAGACAGTTCCTCCCTTTTTTGCAACAAAAGGGTGAAGTTCACTATCCGTTAGCTATTCCACATTATCAACCTTCACTGACGAGATCCTGAAGATCGAAACAGCTGCTGACTGAAGGAGCAGAGTACCAACTGAAGTGTCCTGTTCCTGATGGTGTGCTGTGGCAATGTGTCGAGGTCGGCCGGAGAGCGCAGCGGCGTGGTGTGGTGGTAGAAATAATAAATGAATAGAACACGACACCAAAAGAATGAAAACAATTGTATGTGTGAACAGAAAAATTTGGTAGAGGAAAAACCCAATAGTCCATAATCCACTTTTAACATCAAAATCAAGAAAAAAAAAACAAGAAAAAAGGAAATGAAAAGAAAAGAAAAAGCCAGGAAATACAAGGGCACTGTCCTACCCATCATCATCTCCAAAAACCTCACAGCCGGCCCTCCGAGATTGCCAACTCTCGCAAAGCATTTACAGGACGGTGATATGATGATCGGGCCCCGCGGATGCACCTGATCGCCGAACGCAAAAATGCAAAAGTGAGTCGACACCAGACATATGTCATTGTCTCGGCATACAACTTCGCGTCCCCAATTGAAATGAGACCACACAGGCGCTTGACAAATCTGGCGCACAACAACCGGCCGTTGTGAAAACTAGTGGGCTAAATGTCCCACGGTCCACATTGATGAAACGCTCAGCATACTTTAGCTTCTCCTTCCTCTCATGCTCCGCCAACAGTTTCTCGAGAGGTCTGGTGGCATAGGACGAAGCATCGGGATGAAAAACCCGGACAGCCAGGAAAGCATTCTGTGCCCTGGTCCACCGCCCTCGAGCCCGGATGTCAGCGCGAGCATCGTTGGCTGTATTAGCTGAGGCTGCCAGAAACACCTCTCCCGAAACCGGAGCAAGCTAAAAGCTGCGTTCACAACTGGCGCGAGGCTCGACAGCGTCATCTGCGCAAACCTCAGTTAGTAAGTCGGCAAGAATGTCGCGAACTTCATGGTGCAGAATGGTGGGGAAAGTAAACCACCAGTAGGGCAACACATGGCATGGGCGGGACTAAAGGGTTGGGTACAAGAGCAGGTAGTAGGCACATCAACCAGTGCCCAGTCTTAACGCAACGCCACCGCATCCCGGAAATCTCCCTTCCCGTGTGACCAGCCTGGATATACATGTATGAAGACATGGACATCCATGGGGTGTGTACAGGTCCATTCTCAGGAAGTCTCGCCGAAGTCGCAACAACCGCTTCTTCTGCACAATACGAGCTTCTCGTAAATTATGGACAATTTCCTGATCCATGAGTTTTTTCTGTTGAAGTCCTCAGCGTTATCTCAGAGGTGTTAGTCATTTTACAAGGCGCGAGGGCCTGCCACCACCCCCACCCTACCCCCCCCCCCCCCAAACACACACCTACCTCTATCACTATCAGGATACGTCACTAGTGTCGCATGTAGTGGACGCATGTAGTGGACGCGGAGAAGCGTCATAACTCACAATCTATCCAATGTCTAAATACTGACTGCTGTGGCAGGGATCGTAGCATCGTCACAACACAAAATAGAGTGTATCACGCTTTCGCGCCCCGCTCGCAAACCTCTAGGATAAGCAGCGCATCTCCATCAGCGAACAAGTGCATAACAGCTGCTACTCATTACGGGCAGATTATGAGGAAAATATAAGCGGCACTGCAGGATCACAAGCGCCGATCGATGTGTTCCGCGCCATCTGAGAATTTGCGCAATCTGAGAATTCCAGATTGCCTGCGCAAACTGCAGATTGCGCAGGGAGTTCCACGCAATCTGAGAATTTCCAGATTTCGCAGCCTATGCATGGTAAAACTGCGTGCCTGAGCTCCTGTGAGACTTCTGGGAGCACGCCCAAGTATGTGTGGTGCAACATTCCAGTCTTTTTTTCAACGCAACCAAGCCTCTTGTATGGGCAA